TAGGGTGGGTGGGTTTGCAGTGCCACAGGTAGTGAGTGTGGCATCCCCGGGTAACATGGGTACAGACACACCACTTATTGGGGGAGGAGGAGATGACACAGAAGTGACCAGGGCTGGGTGATCAGGTGATAGAGAGGTTGGACTGTGGGGAAAGAGGCTGCTTTAATGTTAAATGACTAAGGAAGCCATCTAAACTAGCTCCAGACCATGAGAAAGCACTGAAGTGGAAAACTAGTGAGGTGGAGGTGGTCACCACATGGAAACAAGGCTCCACATTACTACCCCCTAAAGAGAAGGTATCAACGTGCTATATTAAACAAGAGTGTATCAGTGATGGTCTCATTTTCATGGGGCTGTATTTTTGTAAAGCCTGCCATCCCATCTAGCCTGAAGGTTGGAGCTGGAACCAGGTGTAAGAAGACCACACTGGCTCAGAAAGAGGGCAGGACTGTGGTTGGCGGGAAATGACATCACTCACAGCCAATCAGAGTTGCTGTCCCAGCCACAAGACTCTCTCCGAGCATTGGGAGATAGGGATAGGAAAGGGAAGATGCTAGGGCAGACCCTGCAGCACTCTGCACATTTCCAAGGCGGAAAACCCTGGGCCCCTGCAGACCACACTCGGTTCTGGGCACTGGCCTGGCTGGGAGGCCTCAGTTTTTACTTGTTGGGACCTGGTCACACTGGAGGAATCTGCTTCATTGCAGTTTCCTCACTGGCCAGCAGGGGGACTCAAGAGCCAGGGATCAGATTAGAGTTCTGAGGGAGGCCCTCTGTGTCTAGACTTCCTGAAAGGGCCAATGCCCCCTCCTCCTTCCCTCCACCCTTTCCCCAATTTAGATGTCACCTTCCCACCTTGCTGCACAGTATAAGACACAAAGACACACATGTGCTCACCCACTCTCACCCACACAATCTTGACTATAGTGCCCCAGCTCACAGCTCTGTCCCATTTTCCTAGGGACCCCCCCCCCCCCGCCCCGCGCCCTGCATTTCTCTGTTCTCTCAGGAAAATGCTTAAGGCTCAAGGTGCTAAATGACTAATTGGATAGAGACAATTATCTCTGCTACTGGTGACAGGGCTGGGTAGAGTGTGTGAATGCCCATTCGTTGACCCAGTGAATGGTTCACAGGCCTTGGTCCACCCATGTGTCTAGGTCTTTATCCCCACCATCCTTCAAACCAGCCTTCAGTCATGGGCACTTAAATTTGTGGGGTCCTTGTGAATTCACCCCAGGACCCCCTATGGAGCTGGGCATCACCTACTCCTGAGGCTCCATCTCAGGGTTGGATTCTTTGAGGCCCATGGGAGAGCATCCTAGAAAGGAAAAGGAATTTCTTTCCACTAAGGAGGCAGCACAAGGCTGGCTGAGGTCATTAAAAGGAAGCAACTGTGGGTGTTCAGCATACAGGCAGTCCTAGGTTTCACCCCAGCACTGCCCACAGGGTGTAACTGCAGCATTCAGGAGCTGAAGGCAGGATAATTGCCTGAACCCAGAGTGGTTTTAAGACCAGCCTGGGCAACATGGTATGTCCCTGATTATAAAAAAGGTAGTTATAACACTCTAGCCCCTGCCCAGAGTTGGGGATTATGTCACTCCCTATTACCCCCTGGGAAGCTATTTCTGCAGACTTGTTGAGGGGACAAACTGCTAGGCAGCCTTGGCCTCAGCGGGATGAGGAACTGTAAGATGCTGGGATGAGGGAGCAAGAGGGGCGGACCTCACCTTCCAGGTGGCAGTGTTTCTTCGGAAATAGGCGAACATCCTAGTAAACCAATTATAGATCTCATTCAGGGTCAGCTGCCTATCTGGAGTTTCCAGAATGGCCTATAGGAAGGAAAGAGGAAAGAGACCCTTAGCCTGGACCTCGAGGGCTCACAGCCCTGTGCTCTCTCCCTTCTGTGTAGCCCGACTCACCCGTGAGGGGAGGAGACCCGCTGCAGTGGGTATGGACCAGAAGATGGGCGGGTGCAGGAGTCTGAGGGGCAGGCTGGGTATCCTTCTTTTGGGGGGCACAGGGCTTCACATACCCCCTCTGGAGGGGGCACACATGTGGGAGTACCATGGAGAGAACACACACATGTATGGACATGTCCACATGTGCATGTGAATCTCATGTAAGCATTAAGAACATGAAGATTATGGACAGGAGGGAAGAAACAGAGATGTTTGTGTGTAAAGCAGGGAAGTGGCTGTCTGAGTGGCCCATCAGCCGATCATGGGAGTATGTGTACGTGGGCAGTAAAAATTGATAGGAGTATACTCATGTGACCTGCAGATCAACTGAGCCACAGCCTGCAGGAAAGGGATGGACCACATGAGTCCCAGGACCCTGCTGGAGATGGGGACCTGAGGGCCAGGTTCCAGGAGGCCTAACTGCAGCCAGCATGCCAAACCTTCCCCACCCTTCTGGCCTCCCAGGCTCACCTGGCGGATAAGGGAGGCGTAGGTGAAGGGGGGCCTGACATCAGCATTCTTGTAGAACTCGTGATTCTGGGCCAGTTCTGGGGGAGACAGGCAGGAGGTGAGACAGCCAGATGGGGAACCCGCCTGGGAAAACAAAGCAAAACAAAACACCCCTCCCACAGCGGCCTTGCAGCCCCTCCAGCCCTCACCTGAGGAGATGGGGGAGCAGAACTTGTCACTGCTTCTCCTGCGGGCAGGGCCCCCGCTGTGCAGGGAGGCAGAGCCCAGGCCAGGGGGCCGCAGGGGTGTGACAGGGGCAGCGGCCGAGGTTGGGGGGTGCACGAGGCCATCTGGGAACGGGTCTGCTGAGACTGTCACCTTGGAGAATGAGGAGCCGGGGACCGCGTTCAGCTGTGAGCAATGGGGGAAGGTGCTGAGTATAGCACCCGGGGGTGGTCCCCTGGGGGTGTGGGATGCTGTGGAGGGGCTCGGGGGGGGTGCAGAGAAGAGGGGGGAACTCACTGGCTGGCTGAAAGGCTTGGGCTCTGAGGGCCGCATGTGCAGGTGCGCCATCATGGCCTGCAGCCGCTCACTCTCCTTGGCAAGCTGTGGAGAGGCAGAGGCAGGAAGAGGCGCAGTGAATGGGAGGTAATAGGCTCTTTGTCTCTTCCACATCCCATCCTCCAGCAGAGGACTCCTCAGAAAGTCCCAGCCACCCCCGAACCTGGCACTTGCATAAGCACCACACACAACCGGTATCTGCTCTCTCTGCCCCTCACTTCTAGAAGCTTCTGGAAGGCCTCAACTATTCTCTGCCCCACCCTCTCTCTGGTCCTCCACATCCTTCAGGACCAGCAGGTCATGAAGCCTTTTGTACCATGGGTATTCTGGGCTCAAATCACTATCAGCCTTATGCACGGGCAGCCTTCTTTCAACTAACACATGCCCTTTCTCTACATGGAGGGCAGAGCCTGAAGTTGAACAATACTCCAGAGTCTGGTGTGGTAGCCTTTGTGTGTGAGGACCCTCACCTACTGAGGATACACAGGAAAGGATGAACAATTTAGTTTGCCCATTCATAAGTTCTATGTATCTTTTGCAACTACCCTCTCTCCACAGGGCACACTGCTGGGATCCAGAGAAATGGTTAAGTATCCATGGTTGACTGAGTTGAGGATTTCTGGCCTCACCCTCAGTTCACCCTCAGGACTCAGCGAGGTCACTTCACATTATGGTAATTAAGACCCAGAGAGCCCAAGATGGAGGCTCTGACCACAGGACCCTCCCAGGAGACTCCTTGCTGTGGTAGGCAGGGCTGAGTCCTCCATATGTCCCCCCCTGCACTACTGGGGGTCACACCTGGATCTCCAGTTGTTGGACCACCTGCATCTGCACGCGGCACTGGGCTGTGCTTCGGTCATCCAACGCATGCTCGGTGTTGAGGTGTCTTAGAGGGGAGGAGGAGGACATGGAAGAGGGTGAGCCCGGAATTTTTCTACTTCATCTCTCCAACCCATCCTCTTCCAATCCCACCTGCCAGCCCTTGGCCAGAAAAGCACGCAGATCAAGAGACAGAAAGAAGACAAAAGCGTGGAATAAAAGGGGGGGGCAACGGATGAAGCCTCCTCCTCAGTCTCCTTTTGATGTCTTTGCTAAAACGGGGCTACAGAGAGATCTAATTGCAAATGAACTAATTAAGTAAACCTCTGACGAAGCGTGAAAACAATTTGTTTGACCCTGATGCTGCAAGGGTCCAGGAGACAGCGGAGTTAATCAGTCAGTGACAGAGCCTGGCACTGTGGTGGCAGCTGGCCTCCTGCTGCCAGCCGCCTGTCCACCTCCCACTCTGCCTGTCCATGGCCCACAGCCGTCCTAGTCCATCACTCTCCAAGATGTGGGGAGATAGGCTTTCTCCTAACTCCCCTGTTCTGGTGGGGGTTGTTGGACTGCCAGCAGGAATATGGGGGCGGGAGGGGGGGCGGAGAGGAGAAGTAGGCCACCCTGCAGGCATAGCAGGTGACTGAAGGGGCAAGCTGTGGCAGGCCCCTTTGGAGAGAGGCCAGGATGATACCTACTTGATGAACTGGCCCAGGTCTTCACAAAGGGTCTCGCAGCCTGGCCACTTGCATTCTCCGTGTCCATAAAGGGGGTGGGAACCAGGGGTCTCCTCATGGGAGGAGCTGGGAGGGAAAGAAGGAGGGAGTGGTCAGAACACCTGATGTCCCAGGTCAGCAGAGCTCCATGGTTGACCATGGTTTTGTCCCTGCTATCGGTTTCCCATTCTGCACCCTGGCTGAGGGGGTGAGCTCCTGGATCCCTGAGCTCTAGCACCTCCCTTCCTATCAGTCCCTACCGTGGTGGCAACCCTGGGGTCCAAGTCTGCCCCAGAGCAGGGCCTTGGCACATACCACCCCCTCAGAGCCATACCTGTCTCTCCGAGATGTGAGCACAGTGGGCTGTCCGTTGGGCAGGGGGTGGTGGGAGAGGGGCGGGGAGACCTTGGGGGGGCTGGCGAACGAGGTAGCGGTAGCAGCTGTGCCGGCGAGGTCCAGCCCCTCCTGCCTGATGCTGTCCTCAGCGGGCTGCCCAGGGGCACCCTCACCCTTCCACAGCTGGGGCAGGTCCGTTGGGCACACGGCTGCTGTGGGAGAGATGGGAGGCTGGCAGGCCCAGTAGCACATCGGGGGGCCTATGCCTCACTCAGCCCTTGGGTTCGGCGAAAGGCTGTGGAGCTGAAGGCGGGATGGGGGAGGTGCTCACCTTGTGGGAGGGTCTGGAGGGGCCCAGAGGCTTGGCTGGGCTGCAGGCTGACCAGCCCTTGCCTCTGTAGGTTGAGCAAGTGCTGCTGCTGTAACTGTTGCATCTGCAGGAGTTGCTGCTGAAAGGCCAGCTGCTTGTTCCCCAGAGCCTGGGAGGGAGCCCGAGGGGGCGGGCAGAGAGGGGCGCCGTCAGCCTGGGTGGTGCCATCTGGCCCCCAGGCTGCAGCCACCCCCTCCCAGGGCCTGTCAGCCCCCGGAGCTGTCGTGCTGGCGTCTGCCGCTGCAGCTTCTCTGCTCCCGGCCCAGCTTCCATAGGGCTGCATGCCTCCTCGCAGTAAACACACGCATGCACGCACGCACGCACGCGCAAACACACACAGCTAGACCCAGACACGCAGCAGGACGCTTTCCCTCCTCCCTCTCCCTCCTCCGCGGCTTCTGCTCTCTGCTCATGGCAGCTGTGTGCCTGGTGGGGGGGGGGGTGCGGAAGGGGGCTCACATCATCAAGATCAATGAGCCGTCAGATCTGGGGGGGCCACTCCTGCCCGGATAGCACCCTACTCACATGCCCAGCCCACCCCCACTGCCTGCTGGGGTGTGGGGAGTTTTATCCCCACCCACCCACCCACCCACCCACCCAGAATCTCTCTTTGCTTTTTAGAATCGGACTCAAGGAGTAGTTGGGACCTGATCAGCCTCCACTGACCGTGAGACCAGCTCTTGATCAGTAACGTCACCACTGCCCAGGAACGCACTGCTAGTTCCCTGTCCCCTCCCCCTCCTCAGTTCTTCACACAGGCACTGACAAGTCAGACTGTCAGCAAGTCTTCTGAGCCCAGGGAGCCAAGCATGTCCTGGGTGTTTGAGAGGCAAGGATATATATCTCTGCCTGTCTGTCTGCCTGCCCTGGGGGTGGGCTGCTGGTGGTGGGGTGGGCTGCTGGTGGTGGGGTGACAGTTCAATAAGACAAGAGGATAAACAGCTTAGGAATTCAAGGGCCCATCCGTAGCTATTGCAAATTTGTGGAAGGGCTTGCTGAGAGGGTAGGAGTGCCTGGATGCTATTAGGGGCAGCTGGAACTGGAGCTGCAGTTTGGCCAGGAGAGAAGCATGTCCATGAGTGACCTGATATCACCTCTCAGGAGGTACTGTGGCCCAGATGGAGCAGGGGTTGTGGGATGGAGGGGTTCTGAGAGCAAACTGGTGGGGTCTGCTTTAAGGCATCATAAGCTGGGGCAGAAACTAGGGCAGGCTGAGGGTCCTCAGGATAGGACAACTGGCTCACAAAGGGACAAGTGTGCATCAAGATGGGATGACATGAGGCAGGCGGGTATGAGCAAAGACCATCAGATGCACATCCAATGACATGCACACAAGTCTACACACGTGTGCAGGTAATACAACTTGAGAGAAAGAACGGGTAGCGATGAGGGGTTGGAGGTATGTTGAGGTGATCACCTCCAACTTTCCTCCTCAACCCCTCCTCCCAACCTTTTCCTTGGTTTCCTACTATTCCCACAAGGTCATTCTTTCCCAACTACTATCAGCTTGAGGGAGAGGGCTGGGCTGTTAAGTGCTGAGACTAGAGTGGCTGGGGGGACATCTGTGAGCTGGGCTGGCCCCTGCAGCTACTCACCTCTTTGGGCTGCTGTTTCCCAGCCTGCTGCTGGGTGAGAAGCTGCAAATGGAGCTGCTCTTGCTGTTTCTTATAATATTCCTGCAGCTGGGGGAACAAGAGGAGGGTAGTAACCAGGAGGAGCTGCTAGCTGCAAACTCAGCCCTGCCCTGCCTGGCTGGGTTCCTGCAGGCAGGACAGTCCAGTTCCAGGAGTTCCTGGCAGAGAGAGATCTGATCTCCTGAGCATACGGTAGGGGGCTGGGGTGGTGGTGGTGATGATGGTGTTCCCACACTTTGCCCCTTTCCCCTGGAGCTCTAGTGACAGAAGCACAGAAGAGAGGATGGGAGGTAATGGCGACTCTCCTAGCAGCCCTGGGAGAATGTGGATCAGTCTGGCCTGGACAGTCTATCTGGTTTCTGCCATATCCTGGGTACTCAGTGAGGCTTGGGTGTGGGGTGGGGTGGGACATGACACTGTTCTGGAGTGAGACTTACCTGCTGGAGCATCAGTGCCTGTTGCTGCTGTAACAAGGCCTGCAGCTGCGGGGGTGACAGGATCTGCTGCATCTGCTGGGGGGTGAGCATCTGCTGCGACATCATGGCCACTGACACGGGCACCTGCAGGATTCACCCATTACTCAGATGTGGTACCCAGGGTCCCACCCACAGCATGGCAGTGCAGATCCCAGTGAGCCTGCCTGGGTTCAGAGTCTGGCTCTGGCACCTATGGACTGTGTCTCTTTTGGCTTTTAGTTTTTAAGTTTTGATGGGTTTTGTTTCCTGAGGGGAGCAGTGAAACAGGGTCTTTCCTATTGTGTAGCCCAGGCTGACCTTGAACTTCCCTTTAAAAAAGTTTATTTTTTAGATTTTATGCATAGGAGTGTGATCCCTGTAATAGTCAGACAGTTGTTCGCTACCATGTGTGTGCTAGGAACCAAACATGGGTCCTCTGCAAGAACTACCAGTGCTCTTAACTGCTGAGTTCTCTCTCCAGCCCCTTATTTATTTATTTATTTATTTATTTATTTATTTATTTATTTAATGTGCATGAATGTTTTGCCTGCACGTATTTGTAAGTGCACCTGTGCGTACAGTGCCCACAGAGGCCAGAAGAGGGCATCAGATCCCCTGGAACTGGAGTTATGAATGGTTGTTAGCCCCCATGTAGGTGCTGGGAAACGAACCTGGCTCCTCTTCAAGAGCAGCCAGTGCTCTTAAAAGCTGAGCCATCTCTCCAGCCCTACCTTGGGCTCCTTATCCTCCCACTGTTTCCTAAGTGCTGGGATTACAGGCATGTGCCACTACACCCAATTTTTTTTTTTTTTCCCCAGACAGGGTCTCCCTGTAGCCCCAGCTGACCTGGAACTCCCTATATAGGTCAGGTTGGCCTCAACCTCACAGGTATCTGCCTACCTCTGCTGTCCAAGTGCTGGGATTAAAGGCGTGCACATACCATGTAGCTCATGCTGACTGTAACTTACTATGTAGCCCACGTTGGACTTGAACTTAAGTCATCCTCTTGCCTCAGCCTCCCAAATGTTGTGATTACAGCTATGAGCCATCACACCCAGAAGAGATTTGTCTCTTTGGACATGTGATTTACCCTATCTCTGTTAAAAGGGAATTAGCAATAGTGTTAGCCTCTTCAGGTTACCAGAGGACTAAGACTAAACATGTTACCCATAGTCAGAGGCTAGCACACAGCAAGTGCCTATAAGAATGGCTGTGTTTGTGGGATATGTGGTCTGAGGAGTGGAAAGATTAAATAGCACCGATGTTGGCCAGTGGGATCCATACTTTGGAAGGTCTCTCACCTTCACAGTAACAGAGAGGAGCAGGTCATTGGGCCACTTCCAACTCTCAATCTGTTTGAGACCACTCCGTCAGTCTGAAGCCATGAGAAAAAAAAAAATCAAAAGTACCCCACTTCAGGCATGGTGATGCATGCCTTTAATCCTAGCACTCAGGAGGCAGAGGCAGATGTATTTCTGTGAGTTCCAGGCCAACCTGGTCTACAGACCGAGTTCCAGGTTGGCCAGGGCTACACAGTGAGACCTTGCTTCCCCCTACACCCCCCCAAAAAAGCAGCTCATCTGACATGAACATGAACATGGACTCTGGCCCTGCTCACATGTTACATACTCAGCATAGCTGTGTACACACGGAGGCCCAGAGCAAGGCCCAGGAAGGCAATGCTGGTGCCATTCTGGTAAGTGCACATGTGAAGCCAGTAGGACAGCAGGTGAGGAGTCACCTGTCTTCTCTGGGGTGTCACTTTCCTCAAACACAAGGGTTGGACAGGAGATGATTTCTACTTGGAACAGCTGAGTTCTCAAAGCCCAGCAGCCTTCTGCCTCCTGGTTCCACAGAGGCAATCTAGAAGGCCCAGAGGATTCACCTAGAGTGAAATGTTTCAGGGGAAAGCAATGACATCATCTTTTTTTCCATAGCCCCACCTCCCCTGTCCTCAGTCATCACAAGGTGGTTTTAAGCCATTGCACAGAGTGGTGAAGATACAGCCCCATTAGAGCCCCTGTGCCCACTCCGTGAGCCCTGCATGCCCATGACTCTAATCTCTCTCATGCCCAGATGGAGGGCCTGGCATGCAGTAGGTGTTCAACTAAGTACTGGCTCCCGGAGCTGAACTGCTATCCTCAGCTAATAGATACTTCTCTGCAGGTCCTGGGGCCTAGAGGGAGGGGAGGAGGATGCTCTGTTAGGGAGTAGAATAAATGGGACTTGTGTTGGGTGGGGACAGGTTAGGTTCCCAGGGTCAGCCTGGCCTGTAGGTGAAGGACTTAGCTCTAAGCTACCCCTTAAGGCAGGAATTAGGAAACTGGTAGACAGAGGAATACAGGGAACAGATACGTGGAATTCGGAGACACAGGGGAAGTCCCACTGCCCCACTCTTCTCCCTATCCATAACCAGTGGCTGGGCTCCATTTCTGGGCTTTACCCTGTCTTCTAACCTAGGTCTGTGTTGAAGCAAGCCCCTGGGAGGTATGCTGACCCAGCTTTAAGTCTGGGTCAGAGGATGTGCTCAAAGCCTCCAGGGGTTTTCTGTTTGGGGCCCTGTTTTTATCCAGAAGTGTATCAGACAAGTCAGATGACTATGACTGCTAGGGTCAGACAGTGGTAGACATGGCACTTGTGGAACTAGCCCTTGTGTCTGTTAGGCACCTAAGAGCAGGTGGATAGCTGCTCAGAGAACTTGAGTTCCAAAGATTCAGGACACAAAACCCAGGCTGGGAATGCCCAACATTAAGCAGGTATTGTGGGCTATCCTTCCCTTCTTCCTCTCAAGAGGACACCCAATAAAGAGACAGCAGGCTTCAAGCACTGGGTTTCTGAGGCAGATGGCCTAGGCCTCTTGGCCCTGCTACTCAGTATTCTTTTTCTAATTTTAAATTTATTATTATTGGATGTATGATGTATTTGGGAATGTGGGCATGCATGTAAAGGTCAGAGGACAACTTTTTAGTCAGTTCTCTTCCTCTATGGGTCCCTTTCTTTCTGAGGTGGTTTCTGAGGTACGGAACTCAGGTGGTCAGGGTTGCATAGCAGGCACTGGCCCTTATCACTACTCTTTGAAATCGCTAAGCCTAATCTTCTCTATCTGCCTCCTGGGATCTGAATGTCTTCCCTCTGCCCCAAATGAAGATGGTGCTAAGTGAGCAGGTGCCAGGCAGGTAGCCAAGCACTTTAACATGTTTCTCCCTGGATGTCCATAGCAACCCTGTGAGCAGAGTACCATCATCTCCATTTCATGAATGAGATAGTGGAGGTTAAACAACTTGCCTCACTCCCAAAGGGACAACAGTAGAATGGGGCACAAAGGGTAGGGGTCAATTAGGACCTACGCACCAGGCCGCTCATTCCCATCATAGAGGAATGGAACTAGAGATAGGAGACTGGGAGGGCAGACATGTCCAGGGGATGCTCCTGGGCATCAGGACTGCAGATGACTGACAGCACTGTGCAGTAAAGGACATGGCCTGTCCTTCCTTAGGGCTTTCCAACTCGGAGGCAGGAGAATGGAATAGATGACCTGTAGAGCCTGCCTGGCCCCCATGCTTCCTGTTAGTTGGCTGCAGGAGCCACTGTGAAGACCTGGATGAACTGCCTCGTGTTTGTTGCCAGGTGGCTGGCCCAATGGGGCTGAAGTAGGGTCAGCAGGTGGTTGTGACCAACCACTGCCCTGCCATGTCTCCCTGGTGTTCTGAGGAGTGGGGGTTCCAATGGTGTCCTTGCAGACTTACCAGGCTGGGATGTGTCAGTACAGACACTGGTCAGCTGTGAGGATCAACAGGGCTTATTGAGTCTCTGTCTAGAGAGTGGCCAAAGTGGATAACAGTCACTAGAGCCTGGCAGGGGAGAAGGGCTGAATGTCAATTCTGTTCAGGCTCCAGCTCTCCACCCACCGTGAATGCAGGGTGCTGGGCCTGATTAGAAGGAACAGAGGCAGTGTCTGACACAGAGGAGATTTACCTGGGGGCTGAGGGTTGGGATATAGCCAAACTCAACTTCTGAAGTGTGGGCTCTGGGGTCCCTGGGTGAGTGGGTCATAATTTGGGTATATCAGGTTGTAGTGTGGTTTGGGTTTGCCCTATTGCAAATGGCCAGAAGAAGGTCCTCAGGCTAATTCTATGCTGGAGTTGAGCAAGAAAGACAGTGGTGGTCAGGTGTGGTGGCACATGCCTGTGTACCCTGCACTTGGAGACTGAGATAGGAGGATTGCTTAAAGTCTGAGGTTAGCTTGGGTTACACAGTGAATTCCAGGCCAGCCAGGGTTAGAGTGAGACTCTGTTTCAAAACAAAACAAAACAAAATAAAAACCAAAAACAGCACAGAGAGGTGCACTGGGCAGCTTTGGTCATCAACTTGACACACCTGTGTAGAGGGAACCTCAATTGAGGAATTACCTGTGTTGGACCGGCCTATGGCCAGGTCTGTGGGGCATTTTGTTGGTTGTTGAGTGATGTGGGAGGGCCCAGCCCATTGTGGGTGGTATCACCCTTAGGCACAGACCAGGGGAGCAAGCCAAAAAGCAGTGTTCCTCCATGGTCTGTGCTTCAGTTCCTGCCTCCAGGTTCCTGCCCTGGTTTCCCTTGATGAAGAACTGTACTGTAAGCTGAAATAAACCCTTTCCAAGTTGGTTTTGGTCATTACTCTTATCATCAGCAATAGAAAGTAACCTCAACATGATGGGGGGGGACTTTTGGGGGCAGGGGTAGGGATATAGTTTAGTGACAGTGCTTGCCCAGCATGCACAAAGCCCTGGGTTTAATTCCTAGCACCACATAAACCAGGCATAGTGGTGCATCCTTAAAATCTTAGGTGGAGACTGCAGGATCAGAAGGATCAGAAATTCAAGTTCACCTTCACCTACATCTACATAGAGATGTAGCCTGGGCTACAAGGGCCCTTACCTCAAACAAAACAAAACAACCCATAAAACAGAAAACCCAAAAGGCATAACTTCTAGAAATCAATAACCTCAGTTACCTCCCCCCAGCTGGCTGTTCAGCCTTCTATGATTGACCTCTGCCTACAGCTGGAGAGACTGCTCAGGCCAGCGCTGGGTGCTTAATATCGTTTGGACATTCACTGAGGCTGGTGGTAGGAAGGTGGTAAATGAGGCTGGAGGTGAGATGCAGATGAACCCATTCCAGGGCAGAATGTACCCATGAGCCCCATCAACTTCCATCCATCATCCATGTCACTGCAGTCTGAAATTGGCAGCACATACTTTCTAGTAAGGGGCCCAACCCTAGCCCCATTTCCCCACCAGTGTGGAGCCCGCAGGAAAGCTATTTCTAGGCTGCTAGGCTGATCCTGGGTCCTACTTGTGGGCAAAGTTCCCACAGTGCCACCTCCTTGGAGACTGAACACGGGGGTAAGGATGGGAAGCAATCAGGGTTGTAGGACAAGGTCAACCCCAGCCCCAAGGACACTGTGTCCCTGGGACCCAGGGATGTGTGAACCACAGCACGTTAGCAAGCAAGGCACCCACACCAGCAGCACCACGTGGAAGAGTTCTGGAGCCAGTCCTTTGGGCTCAGTGTGGTCTATGCTCTTATTAGTGATGTTGTTGTGATGTTGTGATTAGTGTTGTTGGTGTGATGGTTGATTTTAATGCTCAACTCAACACAATCTAGAATCACCTGAGAAGAATCTCAGTGAAGTAGTGTCTAGACCTCAATGGTCTGTGGGGGATTATCCTGATTGCCCTAATTACTGTGGGAAAACCGAGCCTGGATGTGGGCAGCACCATTCCCTAGTTTGGGGCCCTAGATGCAGAGGAGTAGAGAAAGTGCTGGGCATGGTGGTGCCACCCTTAATATTTAGGAGACAGAGGTGGGCAAAACTGTGAATTTGAGGCCAGCCAGGACTACACAGTGAGACCTTGTGTTAAAAGAAAAGCAAGAAAAAGTAGAGGAAGCTAGTGGAGTACTATGCAGGCATTTATTTTCTCTGTTCTTGGATGTGATCAGCAGCTTCAAGATCCTGCCTCGGCACCCCCCCAGTGACAAACTGTAACCTAGAATCGTAAGTCAAATAAACCCTTTCTCTCCTAAGCTACTTTGTTGTTGTTATTGTTTTGAGAGAAGGTCACCTTTGGCTCCAGCTGGCCTGGAACACGCTATATAGACCAGGCTGGCCTCGATCTCACAGAGATCCATTTGCCTCTCCCCTCCTGAGTGCTGGGATTAAAGACGAGTACCATCAGGCCCTGCTAAGCTGCTTTTTGTCAGGGTATTTTATCCCAGCAATAGAAATGAAATTAGGACAAGAGGTGACTCTGGACTAGTTACACACCCAGGCTGAGCCTCAGCTTCCTCATCTGCAGTATGGAGTAATTAATAGCACCTGACCCATAGGTGTGACGGCAAAGTGGCAGGATTCTTGTAAAGGGTTTAGGGAGAGCCTTGGTAAACACCCTGCAGTCAGTAAGCATTTTGCAATGGTCATCTTAGTACTTAGAATCAGAGGCTGGGGTGTGGGGAGCTCAGTTGTCAAGCACTGGCCTGGCGAGCAAGTGGACCTGAGTTCCACCCCCAACACTTACCCCTGGGGTTTGCTGGCCAGCCAGTGTAATTTAGTTGGTGAGCTCAAACCCAATGAGAGACCTTATTTCAAAGGGTGGGTGGCCTTTTCTCAAGATGGCACTTGAGGTCTCTGGTCTCCACATGCACACAAATGTGCACACACATAAAAGTACTCGTATCGGCTGAATGGCGCGTTGATGACTAGGGGATGAGGAGACCGAGGAAAAGGACCATCTCTCTCTCTCTGAGCCCATCACCAGGCAGGCTCTCTGTAGCAGGGGAAGGTGTCCCAAGGAAGTGGCTCTTGCCTACCTTCCCCTCTGGTTCTTTCAGTCTCCAGCTCAACACCCAGTTGGAAAGTCCCTCCTGATACAAGGCAGTTCTCCTTGGATATCATCCAGCTCCTCCCCTTCTGCTGGGGTCTGTGGTGCCCTTTCGTTTTCGGAGAGGCATTCCTATCCCTCAGCCTGCATACCCCTGTTACAGGGAGGTACTAAGCTGAGCCAGCGTGGGGAGGGCAGCGGGACCCATAGAGGTCCCTCATCCAGTGAGACTGGTTCTGACACCCTACAAGGACTGTCTCACCGTAAGAACGTTCTTCCTTCAGGCCTTCCTCCACTGCCTCCAGACTCTGATGTGCTCCTCTCCCTCCAGCTGCTTCCTCCAGCCACACCCCTCTGCCAGCTCTCACTCTGAAGACCTTTCAGATAGTCCCAGGCCACTGAGGGATGGCCATGGCTGTACAGATGCCTGGCCACTTCAACTTTAAACGTTTAAAAAGATTATTATTTATTTTTGGTCTTTTGAGACAGGGTCTCCCTGTAGCCCCAGCTGGCCTGGAACAAGATACGTAGACCAGGCTAGTCTCGATCTCACAAAGATCCTCCAGCCTTGGACTCCTGAGAGCTGGGATTAAAGGTGTGTACCACCATGCCCAACCTACCTTCAACTTTTTAAAGTACTTTTTAAAGATGTGGTGGTGGTGTGTTGTTTTTAAATAAAATACAGGTAATTTGTCGGTCTGAGCACTGGAATCTCTTCCAGGACCTGGGTTCTCTGAGTACCCTGCACCTACTTTCCCTACTCTCATATCCTTGCTCCCCCACGTCTCCCAGGTCCCCTTGGGCCCCAGAGGGCTCAGGATCAGCTAGCATTGTGCTCGCCCCAACCTCCCTTAGATAAACTTCCTTTCAGAGCCTGGCTTAATCTTCTCCTCCTATCCCCAGCCATCCCCTTTGCTGATGGGGGGGAGGGGGGCTCCAGTGAGGCAGCGGAAAGGGAGGGGAGCCAGAGTGGTGACCCTTTGGGACCCAGACTGCAATTCTCCCAAGTTCTTTGTGACACAAAAGGTAAACAGAAGGCCAGGCTTCTCCACCCCCCACTGATTCCCCCCCTCCCCAGCCAGCCAGATGGGCCGACAGGCTGGGGGGAAGGGAGAAGGGAAAAAAGGGCAGATTGTGAAAAGGAAAACAGAAGAGACAGAGAGACGTCAGAGACAGGAAATGGGGAGAGACTGGGAGAGATAAGGGAGTGGGGGAGGGGAGGGGAAGACTCAGGGAGGTACTAAGCTGAGCCAGCATGGGGACTGCAACTGAGAAGCCTGGGAATGGCCAAGACCCTGCTAAGGGACATAGGGACCCACACAGAGGGGAAAACAGACAGGACTGCCTGAGACAGACCAGAGGGAGGAACCCCAGTGAGTCAGGTTCAGAGAGAGATGTAGACACAGAGGCTAGACAGACGCAGGCCTGGCTGTTCAGGTGGAGACCGAAAAAGTGGAAGTTTCTCAGCCCCACCCCTGCAGTGACTGTTTGCTTCTGGAAAGCTGCCCGATTTGGAGCATGGGGGTTGGGGAGCACTGAGTGCCCTCTTTCTCTCAGAGGGACCTTTGACCTCCCCTTGTGCCAAGCAAACCCACCCAGCCCCCGCTTTGCATCCCAGTGTAGCACGGTAAGTACCCCTCTTCTCACCTGCACAGCAGAAGCCGACTGTTTGCTGTCATTGTTCCCCTGGGAGTTCAGGCTGGAGGCCTGCTGCAGCAGGAACTGCCGGGCCACTTGGAGAGCCTGCAGAGACAAGGGCTGAGTCAGAGTGAGGCCCCAGAAGCATCCTCAGAGGCAGCTGGGATCAGGGATCAGTACTGAGGGTGGGGAGTTTGGGGCAGTAAGGGACAGTAGTTCATGTGGTGAGGGAGGGTCACAGGTCCTTATGGGCTTGGGGTAAGAATGGAGGTGGGAGTCACTGTGAAGAGTTCCTATAGGGATCCTAGGCCTTTAAGACTCACACAGGGATCAGTGAGATTGGGCAGCAAATGGAGGGGTCAAGGGTCAAAAGGGCTCCAGGGGAAAGTGGGGGAGGTAGAATAAGAGGTACTTTTGGTTGAGCATCTATGTATCGGGCGCTTTATAGGCAAACTGTTGATCTTCCCATGAGAGGACATGGGGTGAGTGAGGATTAGCAGCCTTCCCTATGAGGCAGCAGAATCACCAGGAGGTTCAGCAAGCAACTTACCCCAAGACCAACTAGCTAGGAGGTATCGGTCAGGATGTCAACCAAGGGGTGAGGAGGTAGTTCAAGGGGGCTACAGGAATAGTATTTGCCATGTACACGGCTTGGGGTGGGGTAGACTAAAAGATCAGGTGTGTTTGAGCCCTGCTTGGTCTAACTGTGGGACCAAGAGAACTGACCAGATTTGAAGGCTGTGTCTGAATTATCAAAGCCACAGGGGTGGCCTGGGCTTGGAGCTATAGTGATGTCCCAGGATTGAGCCAAGGGCATCCTAGAAATGGGGTGTAGAGTTGACAGAAGGGGCAGCTCTGGCAGTCAGTGTGGGTAGGTGGGTAGTGAGGTTAGCCAAGAAAGGCTCAGGGAGGTCCAGGAATTTTCCCCTTACTTTGGGGTTCCTGTGGGGTTGAGATGGTGACTGTAGAGAACCTGTCCAGTCAGCTCTGGGTTCCTCAAAGACCTCCAGGGAGCCAGAGAAGCTGTGTCCAGGCCCTGGAGGCAAGGCTCTGGAGCCAGGTACACCTGGGCTGCAATTCCAGTCAGCCTTACCACTCACTGGTTGTGACCCTGGGTAAGTCATTTACTCTGTCTATCTGCAAAACTGCGTAGCCATTCAGAATCGTGCAGGGGATTCAAAGACCAATGCCCGGTACCTTGTTGGCATTAGGGAAGTGCTCACCTTTGCCTCTCATTTCCAGGCAGTTTTCTACTTGTTTCTCCCCACATAGCATTGACCCACACTTGTTAGGCCTTGTATGTGCACATAGACTCCTGCTTCTTTTTCACATGGATCCCATTCTCTTACCCCACCTGAAGCATCTTTTCTTTTTCTTTTTTTGTCTTTTTGAGACAAGGTCTCCCTGTAGCCACAGCTGGCCTGGAACTCTCTATGGAGACCAGGCTGGCCTCAGATCTTACTGAGATCCACTTGCCTCTCCCTCCCAAGTGCTGGGATTAAAGGTGTGTGCCACCACACCTGGCTCCCACCTGAAGCATCTTGAAGGTAAAACTTTTTTCTTTTTCAACACTAGGGATCAAACTCAGCCTCACAGTGCTAGAGAAGCATGCTACCACTGAGCCATACCCCCTTGCCCCAGCAGTCCCATGGATGTGTGGCCCGTGCTCATAGCTGATACTGTGTATCATATATATATATATGTTTGTATCCTATATATATATATATGTATCATAACTATATATAAAGTCCACCTGCACAGTCCTTCAGTGTTGACTGGCCCGGCTTCCTGGGGCTTCAGTTTAGTTTACCTTAGGACACTATGTAAATATGCAGTGATATCTATGAGAACATGTGTGCTCCCTGGCAGCCCCTGGACCCTCCTTTCCCCTCTGCAAGAAATGTCTTAGACTTCCTGAGGGAATGATGGTGCTGTTGCTCCCAGAGAGTCATTTTAGAAATCAGAAACTGGACCTTTCTGGGTTGCCAAAGAGAGGTGGGTGGGGGTGAGGAGAGGCTGGGAAGCAGCTTGGGGTCCCTCAGCTTTTACTGCCCTTCCCCCAGGTCTAACCACAAACGCTGTTTGTCCTCCAAAGGTGGAGAGAACATGGAAAGGGTACCAGGGTCAGAGGCCAGGAGGTGACCCTGGAGCTGACCCGCCCAGGTAATTCAAGAGAGACCCTGGTCCAAATAAGGGATAGGACAAGCCTCCTATGTAGAGGGAACAACAGGAGAGCTGTTTCCAGGGGAGGTGGGGAGAGAGAGCCCAGCTCCATCTCAGGTTGGGGGAGTGGCCAGGAGTTGAATTCACTCCACCAGCTCTTACTTGTGATCCCCTAGAGCATGAAATTACAAGATTTACAGAAAGGGGAAAAAAATGACAGGGCCCTACAGTCTCATTCCTGCAAGACCTCTTTCCCTTCCCTCTTCCTGTGACTCCCCATCTCATAAGCTTCCCTTCCTGCCTGCCTAGGGCCCTCCCCTTTAGGCCAGGGGAGTCAGAGAAGTGCATCCCTCACTCTTTCCCCCTTTCTTTCTCTCTCCTACCTCTATTTGCATGTACGAAGGACCAGGTATAGTATGTCAAGTGTCATGCTAGGTGATAGGTGGCCCTGTCCACACCACAGGTGTTCAGGCCCTGGGAGTGAAGGGTCTCTACAGAGAGTGCTAAGGATCACATTAGGCCCAGGGAAAAGAAGTCCTCAGCCACAGAGCTCTGAGCAGGCCTCCAGGAGGAGGTGGTAGCGCTGAGGTCCTGGAGTCAGCTCACTAAGAAGGGAGAAAGGTGTGTTCCTATAATGTTACAGCACACCAGAGGTGAGACATGGCCAGGGCAGAAGGGACTTATTCCCAAGGCAAGCAGAAAGTTGAACTGTGCCCAGGGAGGCCAACTAGAAAGGCTGGAGAAGCTGGCAGGGGACCCCAGAAGCTGGCATCTAATCTCCTCCAGGCTCGTCACTCACTCACTCATTCCCACCAGCATGGAGGGAGACGGGATGCCTATGGCAGACAGAGCAAATTCATTTCATGTATTTGCCTGGATATAGTCAGCCTCGATCAAACTGGGACCTGGTACCACCTTAAGAACCCACTACAAGGGGCTGGAGAGATGGCTCTGCAGTGAAGACAATGTCTGATACACTACTGGCTGCTACCACAAAGGACCCAGGTTCAGTTCCTATCACCCACGTGGTGACTAACAACCATCTGTAACTCCAGTTCCAGGGGATCTGATGCCCTCTTCTGACCTCTATGGGCATTACATGGCATGGTGCACTCACATACATGCAGGCAATACACTCATAGACATAAAATAAAATATTCTTTAAAAAGAACACACTCATGAAGGCCAATCAAGTACTGGGAAGACTCCAGGCTTAGATCTAAACTCCCTTCCCCAGATGCCCTGACATACCACACACTGCTCAGTGGGCAACAAGTCCTATTCTAGGCTCTCCTCCCTGCCATGGGCCTCACTATCCACACATTCAGACCTTGACCCAGGATAGTCTCTAGGAGTCTTAGGTCTCCCTCTGGGGGTTAGTTTTTTTTTTTTGTTTTTTTTTTTTTCTAGAACGTTCACCCAAGGCATCAGGCAGGTCTGAGACTTTCTGAAGTTGCATTCATTAATCTAAAGCACCAAGGACAAATGTCTGATACACTACTCGATGCCACTGGGGCCTGATAAACAAGTGGACCCACAGCCTCAGGAGAGACAGAAGTGGCAAGCTCTGACCAGACAGCCCAGCCCACTTTCGTTGATGACGTCTAACAGACTACAGTCCTCTATTTTTAAAATTATTATTATTATAATTAAATAAATAATGGCTCAGTAGTTAAGAATACTAGTTGTTCTTGCAGAAGACCCGGGTTCAAATCCCAGCACTCACATGACAGCTAACAACTGTCCGTAACTACAATTCCAGAGGATCCGACAGCCTCTTCTGTCTTCTGAGGGTATTGCATGACATGGGTGCACTTACCTACATGCAGGCAATACACTCATACACATAAAATAAAAATAACAAATAAAATATTAAAAAATTATTGTGTGTGTCTACATCATCCCCTGTGTGTGGAGGTCTGAGGGCAACTGTGTTCAGTGGTTCTCTCTCTCCACCTTTACATGCGGTTCGGGGGGACTGAACTCAGGTAGTCAGGGCCCAGGAGCCCCCTTAAGGGTATGGGTACAATCAAATGCAGCTGTGAGCTCCCTGCCCCCAGCACACAGCAGACATGCAATCCTTGCACACAGAGTGGGCTCCTGGGCTGGCGAGATGGCTTAGTTCAAGTTAGAGCATGGAAGGAGGGCACAGGCTGACCTTGGGTTCAAGTGCTAATGTCTGCAGAGTGCCTTGCTGCTTCCAAAGCACTTCTGCAGTGTCTGGATGGCTGGAGTGGTCCGAGCACTGTGGCAAGCACTTCACAGAAGCTTCCCAGCACCGAGCTAGGCAGGCACGCCAGGTGCCATCCTGTCCATTTTATAGACAAGGAGACAGGCCCAAGTAACAGGGCCCCCATGGAGGGAACCCCCATGACTGTAGGCAGACCCCCCCCGCCCCCCCCGCTCCAAGCCCTGTGCATCTGATCCTCTTTCAGCCCTCAGAAGAGGGAAAACAGGCTGGAGTAGGGGGAGACCAAGGAAGTCCCAGGGGAAAGTGGGCTTAGTGTCCCTTCAAGGGGGAGCCAGAGGTACCCAAACATGGCTCTTGAGAAGAAAAGGTGTTCAGATAGCCAGCCACACATGGGACAAGCCACGAGGGAAAACTTGAGGGGATGAGACAGGAAGGAGGGGGAGAGGTTGAGGACACAGTGGAAAATAGGGAGTCACTATGCCCCATCAGCACCCCCCCGCTTTCAGTCCTCAGAATGAAAACCAAATGTAGGCCGGGGATGCAACTTAGTTGACAGAGTGTCTACCTAGCATGTATGAAGCTCTGGGTTTCCTCTCCAGCATTGAAAAAAAACCAGGCTAGGTAGTACATGTCTGTAATCCCAGTATTCAGGAAGTACAGGCAAGAGGATTAAGAGTTCAAGGCCATCCTTGGCTACATAGCAAGTTTGAGGCTAGTCTGGGATACTTGACTCTGTACATGGGACAACATA